TAGAGAATAACTGTCGATAAAATGACACTGGTAAGGCCAAGCAGAATATGAAAAACTGCTTGCAAGGATTCTATGTAATTATACGGCAGTGGACAAGGATATTGTACCCACTTCAGACTGGTCAGGTTAAAGTGATAATCACACAGTGGCGTGTGAATAAGAAAAAAACTGGAAATGAAACATAAAAATTTAAGAAATCAGAATCTGAAATACGACAAATTAAAAAAAACGACTACCGCAAACTGTGACCCTAATTGGTACAATAAATCAACTATACAGCCAGAACAAGAAAAGTATTACATATTTTTCTTAAAAAAACCGAAAAAAAAACAGATTTTTTAACTCACCTATGAGAATACGGCAAACCAGCGCTTAAAAGCGGTCGTGAAAAATCACCGAAAACTCCAGTAAACCACAAGAGAAGAACGATATTATACATTATTGAAATGACGCTTGTTACCATCAGACACACTAGAAGATATATTCGATGCTGACAAACAGCAAAGAGACCCGTTATACATGAGAGAATCTAAAAGCACAATAATTCAACTATCGTCCAGTTACTGAGTCTTGTACGCTTATTTCAAACATCAGTTTCTATGAAATTAATTCGATTTTTTTCTCAGGGAAAACAGTTTTTTGCTTGTAACAGTTTGTAGCTGTTCAAAACCAAGTTGTCATCTGTGAGTCTCATTCTTAGTCCCTGGTTTTTACAAACTTAGAGTACGTTTAGAGATCATGAATTTCTCTAAAAAAGCGGAGGAGTAGTAAGAACGCAAAAATTACCCCATAGAAAGTACAAATGAAAACTTATTTTTGCACTCCATTAAAAAATGTGCAGAACAGTAAAAGCAAAGCAAAGATCCAGTAATGTACCAGATCCCTTAGCCGGTAGCTTCGTGTATTTTTTCATTCACATGTCATAACTTCTAATGGTCCTCACTTTCAATAAAGGTAATCTTTAACAAGTTATATTACGAAAGGAATTAAAAACAATTTGTGATATTGTAATTTTACAGCAGATTTTTGATTTCTAACCGTTTAATGAGTAGTCTCCGTAAGTAAAAAGTGAAAAACTTTGAAAATTTTTAAAGACTAAAAGCCGCACTAAAAGACAATGAAAGTACTTCACACTCACTGTGTTTATGCAAAGCTCAATTATAATTCACTTCATTTTTGGGTTATTCAAACGCGTTATACGAAAAATTAGAATTAGCGGATTTAGTGTTTCCCCTTACAAATTATCTATGAACAGACGACAGATAATGGTGTGTCAACAGTAAACTAAAAATAATGTCTGATCTAATCGCAATTTACAGATTCAGTTTTTCGTCGCTTAATATTTAAACCCCTATACACTCCATTCTTATGGTAGTATTTTAGTGCTGCTTAAAGTCGGCGGTAAGTACACTAGCCCGTTAGCGGAGTTTATAACTCTAATAAAAATTTCGGCCATTTTCTTATTATAAAATTATAACAATAGTACTCCGTCTCATTCAACGCTCTCCCAGAACTACCCTTGCACCATATGTTGCAATATACACTCTTTTTTACACTACTTGATAAAAACAGATTGATACAAAGTGTTAATACCCTAGAAAACTTGCTGTTAGTTGCTGCCCTCCAAGCAATTAAATCCATTTGTCTATATATAACAAATAATACTTCAATCTTATTTTTTTCTTTCGTGATTCCAATAAACAAAAAGCAGATGGCATAAAATTCACAATGATGTTCAAAGTAAATAAAGCATAAGCGCAAAATTTCTGTTAGTCAATTCTCAGTGCGAAGAAACCACTCTGCACTCCTTTTCAAAATCTCAAAAAACCCATGTAACATAACCGTTTTTTCATAACTCTGTTTTCTTTCTTACCCTCAAATAAGCCGTAAAGTATATGCTGAAAACTTGTTCTGTCTGCATTACTTAACACGTTTTTAAAAAGTAATCAAAACGTAAATTTGTCTTAAAAGAAGGACAACAAATACTAAAAAGTTCTGTTACATAGAAGTTTAAAAAATGCTATCAAAACAATATTGCTCTGATCTCTCAAATAATCAACACTTTATAGTTACTATTTAGCTCCTAAAAGAAGCAAAATGTTTTGTTCTACACTTCAATCAATAACGTGTTTCCTGACAACAAGACTTGAATCTGAAGATTAAGAACGAAAGTCACAAAAAACGTATAACAAATAAAAAGAAAAAAGACCGATATAAAAAATTTTAAAAAAAGCTGAAATACACAAATGATAACTACAAGCTTTGAAAATAACTAATAAACTAAAATTTGAAATCCTTTTTTGTAAACTTTTTTCTCATTAGTGCCAAATACAAAAAATATTCTCTTTAACATACGTTTAACAAGCTGCCAAAAAAGTTGATACAGCCTTAAAAAAAGAAAAAGAAAGGGGTTTTTTTGTAAGAAAACCTAAATTGAAAACTTATCGCAAGGAAACCGCTAACACACGCAAGTTTAAACATATAGATACTACATGCTGGTTTTTCTCAGTGACCACTGTTTTCTACTTTTGTAAAGGTATATAAATTCCATATTTCTCTACTACCTTGGAAATGCACTCTTCCTTGCCTATATAGGAGAAGACACATTATTAAGAAGCCTTTCAAAAAGTACGTAAAGACGAATCGCAGAAACATAAGCATATCAATAGACTTTGAAAATAAAATAAGTTTTTGAAAAATGATCTTATAATTCTGTGAATTCTTATTTTTATCGAGACCTAATCAATCCTGAAGAGTTGACTGCATTTTAAGAAGTGAAAGTTCTTGAATGCAATATTTTGGTTAATAATTGAACCATTTAACGTAATATAATGAAACTGAAACCAACCTGCAATAAATTAAAAGCCACCGGTATCCATAATTTACCAATTAAATCAAATACTTGACGTGCAACAACTGCAAGCAGCCATAATACCAAGACTGATAATAGCCACGTATACGGTGGCGAGTCGGCCATACTCGCCACACCTGGAACAGCTCGCACCAAAGATTCGTACCTCCGACCTTTACTGAACT